ATTCGACTTGTAATTGAAATACTACGTTACCATTAACAATAATTACAGCAACAATAAACTAAACTTGGAGGAAAATTCTTCAGCACTAATGATCCAAATATCACAATAGTTGTTCAAAATTACGACCCCCGACTTCAATGCAAGCATTGCATCTGCGAATCATATTTCTTTGAACGTTGTCCATAATTCGAGGCATTTTGCGAATTTCGAGTGCTGCAGCCTCGATTCTGGCCGTCAATTCCTCTGGAGTATAAGCAGGATTCTCATAGACTAGACTTTCCATGTGATCCCATAAAAAGTAGTCGAGAGGTGTTAGGTCAGGTGTCTGGGCAGGACAGCTCACTGGACCACATCTTTCAATCCACCGTCTTCTGAATGTTGTATTCAGGTACTCTCTAACGCCCACTGAGAAGTGTGGGGGTGCTCCGTCATGCTGGAACCACATCTGCCGACGAACATTTAGTGGCACATCGTCTAGTAATTCCGGCAAAACTTCTCCCAGGAAATTCGAGTAAATAGGACCGGTTAGTCTTGGTGGCAATACATATGGTCCTATTGAACTGTCGCCGATAATCTCAGCCCAAACATTCACGCTAAATTTGTGTTGATGTCCAATTGAAAATATGGCGTAGGGGTTTTCTTCGCCCTACAAATGATTATTACGTGAATTGAAAATACCATCCTTGGTAAAACTGGATTCGTCCGAAAAAAGGATTGACCGTGGTGATTTTATTCATATCGATCCAGCAACCAGCGACAGTATTCCACTCCTGGTGGATAATCAACTGGAAGCAACGGTTGTACTTTTTGTAGGAAACATTAACGTGATATGAATTCAAAGCTTGAGCAATTCCTTGGGTGCTTGCTCTTGCATTTTCTTCGACGAGATGAAGTACATCTTTTTCAAATCTTGGCATGTGATGGTTTGTTTGCCGTCCACAGTTCCTTTTATTAGGTTTGAAACTTGCTGTTTCTGTTAAGCGCGTCTCAATTCGGGCAAAAATCCGGTGAGATGGCGTTCGACAATTTGGACAACGCTGCGAATACAGACGTTGTGCAGCTCTTCCATTACTGCGTGATTCACCGTAAATTTTCATCATGTCAATATATTCGATATTAGTGAAGTCATTCTTTGTTTCACCACACTTAATTATACACACTTTTTGAAACATATTAAACCCTAATTTGAGGGATTGTTACACACAAAATAAAACTCGTCAGAATATATATCTACAATCTATTTATTCATATTCCATGTCAACTGAGACCATGATAACGACTGGTTCCTCGGAGTTTATATACATTAGTTTTTGCAGGACAGTAAAAAGAGATCGACGTGCTCAAATAAATAAATACCTATTATCTTTTATGACATGGGTGGTGCATCATGCATATAAATGTCACATTTTTCAACACTCAATAGACTCAACAATTCGTGAACTAGCACTCAACAACTTGACATTTGATTGAACATTCATTCGAAAGTTCTGAAGTGATTTATTTCTAATACTGGAAACTTGATTTTTAGACGATTTTCAGAGATACCAGGATTTTGTATGTTCTAATTCATAAAACGCCATTTTTCTCGAAAACTGTTCATTTCAGAGCATTGAAGCACGGAGACCTTTTTGTGTGAAAGATATTGGCGCTTCATGATGTGCTTCGAAAATTACAATTTCTCCAGTGGCATGGAAGTTTGGGAGGTTAAACCCTTACGAGGCGTTGAACTCTCCGCCACTGACATGTCCAAGGAGATTAATCAAGAGCCTTACAAGTAGTAATTATCAATGATGGAGTGTGCACAAAAGCTCAGCTCCGTAGCTCAAACGGTTCCTGAGATAAGAGCAAAAAACGGATTTTTTTAATTTTTTTCACGCCCTGTATCTTGAAAACGGAAGCCCGGAAAAAAATTTCGTGAAAGAAAAAAATATTTTTTTTATGAGGAATCTACAGTGTCCCGTTGTGACACTTATTTGTTAACAACCTGTATGTGATCTGATATATTTTCAGTTTCTTCACAATACACTGTCTCACCAATAACTTACTAATTACGAAACCTAGGATTTCAAGACAATAGATTATAGCTAGAATATTTTAGAGAATAGAATATTGCACTTATTGTTTCATGCTTTGTTGAATAATTTGCAATCATGTTATTTTCACGAAACATAAACGTCTGGAAAGATTACGTAGTTGGTTTTGCTATTGAGTATGAAAATAGTGTTGAGGTACTGGTATTTGGTAGAGTACATGAGGCATCCGATAACTTTGAAAATTGATATACGGGACCATGATACTTTACTTATGGACGAGTCACCGAATTTTTTATCGTAACGCCGAAACAGATCGGTGGACACTTTGTCGAAAGTAGTCATCATGCCAGAAACGCCAGTGAACAAGTTGCCGAAGCGACGCCGCATAGATCGTGAATGCAGCGTCGAAACTGAAAACTCAATATTTCAGTAAATCAGCTACAAGAGAACCCCCGCAATTTTCAAAATTCTAAGTCCTTTTTCCCCAGATTCTACGGAAATTACAGTGTTGCATGGAGGAAAGCCCCATGAGAGCCCATGTAAAGCAGACTAGATTTTTCCGTAGATCTACGGACTTTTTCAGCGGATTTTAAGGTCCATTCTGCAATTTTTTACTCTTTCAAGGTCATCCGGCTCCAACGCTAGCCCGAAGCTGCTGATAAGAATAGCGATACGTGACACTTCCTTGACACTTCATATAGATAGTCGCTTGCATGTTATACTATTTTCTCTGCTAGCTAGTTTATAGTTAGATTATTCGTATGATGACGTCATCGTCGATCCAATTTATATTTAGAATTGAATAAAAAAAGTGTTGGGTCTGTGTTGGGAATCGATCTCGGGTCCCCGGGTCGAGAGTCCGACGCGCAGCCATCAGAGCCACGACCACCACATGATATTAATTATAGTTTGGAATGTTACATGCAGCATTGGAGCAGACCGGCAAGCACAAGATCCCTTACGATGATTACGCTATGCAACATTGTTGTTGCGATTACCACGCGCGCATTCCGGTAGATTGAAAATCCTTATCGCAATTAACGAAATAATATAAATTATGATGAAATATTCACATAAAGTTGTTATTCTGTATACCGTCGCTGGCGCGCGCTCATCTTTGCAACGGATCTGTAGAGGTAGAGCAAAGCGAGAGATGCGTTCCAGAGATAAGAAACTTCGAGTCGAAAATAATATCCATCGCTGGCGCACGCTTATCTTTGCAACGGATCTATAGAGGTAAAGCAAAGCGAGAGATGCGTTCTAGAGATAAGACGGTATTATATCGAAATAAATTTATGGTGAAATATTTCTATGTTAGTTTTATCGACAATATACACACAACACCAAATGAAGCTTCCGCTGATAAGAGTCGTGTGCAGCGATAACCGTCACATTGTTGGAAATTATTATTTATGAAGTCGATAAGGTGTTGTCAGATTTTCAAAAAATATCTGATGTCACGTAATACATGACATATGACGTATGACAGATGGTGTTTGCAATATGATGTATGTGGGGAGTGGAAGAATGCGAAAACAATTTTTTATTATACTCAGAATATAGAAACAATCAATAGACTTTTCTGTGTATTCTTTCCTCTTGAACCCTCACACTTGACTGGATGTGTACGAGAAAGAGAGGGAGAGAGAGAAAAGAGGAGAAGAAGAGAGAGTGAGAAAGAGGGAGAGAAAGAGAGATAAAGTGTTGTAATAGGATGTGAATTGAAGGTATGGACGTGTAAAACAGTTGTATCATGTCTTCTGACGAATACAGACGTGCACTAGAAGAATTTGGTTTGAAGGTTAGACAGCTCAGTGCAGACATCCAATTGTATGAGCAGAAAGTTGACCTGTTTAAAGATTTCGAGCAACTGAGCGTTTGGGATAAGGTGTTCGCAGAACCGAGACGCACAGCTACACCTACATCGAGAAGACGAAGAATTCAACCAACACAGCTTCTAGATGGCGATACTGAAAGCAAGCTTCATTCTATTGACAGCTCTGAGCAACAACGTCTTCTACATAAACATACCGTACAATACGAGGAATGTAGCCGTATGTTTTGATGTGAATCGTACACATCATTGTGATTGGAAGATGATGACTAGAATGTATGTCAATGATAACAAACTACCTGTATATTCAATCGACATGCCACAACATGTTAATGAAAGCAGCATCGACTATAAATTGAAATTGTCGTTTTCTGATGGCAGTGACGGCGAAATGGGAGACTGGCAGACACTTGCATTGAAAACATCCTCCGCAAAATTGAATCAAGATACTGTCAATGTCATTGAAATTTTGACACTTTGTTGTACACTGATATGTTCACTTATTTTAATCTCAAATGTTATTGTTGGAATACTGAGAAATAAGGGATGTGATGAATAAAAACTCTGAAATTATTATAAAGTTTTTTTTATTTTGGCAATAAATTACATAACCAATTATATAAAGTATCGACATTGTGGAGACTGCACTGGAACCTTCCTCCATGGAAATGATTCATGCAGGGTGGAATGGATTGTAGGAACGTTATTGGCTGCCACCAAGAATTGTCAAAATCTTCCAAATTGACAATGTGATTGGTCATCTCCAACTCTGCACATTTTCGCTGCAAAAACTGAATCTTTTGATGGCCTCTTACGTAGATGATGTTTGTCTGCTGCAGGTTATCTCGTAGTATTTGATCCAACTCATTCAAATCCACATAACCACAGGAATATTTTAAACCATGAACGTAACGTTCCACATGATTCACCATCTTTTTATCTTCTTTGTTCAAACTGGAAAACTCTACAGATGGCTTGAATAGATGATGACTCGTCTTTTTGCCAATTCGAATAGTCATTTCCTTTGGAATGAATTCACCCTCAACCATGAACGCTTGAATGTCAACCAGTGCGATCTCCATGACTCTTCGGAGTAAACTGACGTCTGACTGGTGCGACATCAACACCTAGAACTAGGTGATATTTCGAACAATTTCGCTGAGTGGGAGGTGTTCTATGATTTGGTCGTGAACGATGATGCAATAGGCTTTGGTGTCGGGAGGGAAACCTGTCGTCGCTTCAATGTCCAACTTTATGTCAACTGTAGACGACTTCATGCCTAGATGGCGCCTCGAGCAATCGATAACAAACATTGGTCGGGTTTTGAATTCATTGAAATCCACTAGAGAGCGTTTTTGTTGACAGTTATGATAGCTCTTGTTGAACTCTGTATAGTTGAAGTGAGCGTCGGCATATTGGTCTTTGGAAAAGTCCAATAGCATTCTTTCTTGCGGATAATAGTCGCTATTCAGAGCCAATCGTATGGATTTGATGTTGGCATTATCGAACACGGTGACGTCTTCATGCAAATTATCGGCTTTTTTCGTTTGGAAAAATACTATAACATATCTGGGACTCTCTAATGCAGAACACGTCTTGACCGACCAGATTTCTATGGTGGATCCTTGTGTGAGTGCTGGTAGCTCGTGCAATTCCCATCGACGGAACGGTATCATCATAGACTCATCTGCCTTGATACGTGTCAACAACTGCAACTTTATGTCATCGTTGGGTGTAAGATGCGGCAGTTTCAAATAGATGCTTTCAATCGTTATTTTAGCAGTGCTCTGAGTCTGAGGAGATCCTGGCAAAGCAGTATTAGCTCTCTCGACAACCTTCACACTGTTGGCATCATTACGAGCTCTTACTAAACGGATAGACTGCTTGCCCCACGTTGCCACTTGATGATCGTTAAAGATGGAAAACAAATGTTTCAGTGGAATGTTCATGCTGAACGTTTTATCGGCGTTGAGAATCGGAGCATTGGGATAGTTCCAGCCTGCTATGGCTAGATGGCGTGAGTCTTCAGGTGTGTAACACAAGTATCCTCGCACAGTACTCGTTATTCCAGGATATCTGACAGTGTCCAATTCTTTATTGCACAATTCATAGGTACAAGAATCAAAGAGATAGGCTCCAGCATTGTGGGTTAATGTACCAATACCACCTCCGGCCACAACCAATTTACCCTTGATGGTGATGATACCTTCAAACATGGCCAACCACGAATCTGCTTGATTGACTGTAATATCGATGACATCATTGTTTTCGAATGATTTCACATATGGGTAATAGGTGCGCCACTCCACTTTAGTGATGCTTTCGTCGAATCTGGGTTTGCGGAAAACGTCGAAAACGGGGGCTGACAACATTGTAGCCTTCGAGTGATTTGAGAAACAGGATATTGGATAATGTCAATGATTTTCTGCTCCTGCTCTTCGAAGACACGACTGCTTTGGTGTATGGTGTCGAGGGAACTGATGCTGATGATGGTGATCCCAGCAAACATGATTGAGCGGTAAATAGGCGGCCGATTGCTGGTAACTGCGGTTAGTTGTCGGCAGCGGCACACCTATGTCGTTAAAATGTTGAAACGACATCGGTTTTGCCGCCATGGCTGAACGTACGCATGTTTATAATGGATGTTTGTTATTCAGCCAGAAATTGCCCGTTTAAAATTCCCGACAATCGTGCCGATGTCGCTTTGACGCAGTATGTATGTTGTTTACAGGTCAGTGGTAACTGAACCAAACGCAATGTTGGCATCACTGGGTTTTTGAGCATTGGTAGTACTGCTAATTTATTTTCGTGTTTTAGTTCTGTGTCCGTAGATCGCGTCAGTTGTCTGTCACTTGTCTTCAGGTATTTGTTAAACGGCGTGATAATATTAATATTATTTAGAAAAAGTTGGTGAGTTTTATGATTGATCCCAGCAAACTATCGTCCGACATCAAGAATAATGATATATGTTATATAACAATAATTAAACTCGTTATTGTCTACCAATCCATTTTTGTGGTAATGATTTTGAGCTAAATATTTGTTCATTACCCTATATTATAACAATGATGCTCCAATGCGAAGTTCAGCTCTTTACCTATATTCGAAAAATATTTGATTCACAGTAATAGATCAAACACTGGAAAAGTAATGTGGCTAGAACATTATCAGACTAAACCTATTCTACGTCGTCGAATCAACAAGTTATGATAGGTATATCGTATATGATCAAATATCAAATATAATTGAAGTATTGTACTATTTCAATTCTGTTGACTGATGGATTCGTAATAGTATCTTTCAAGTTTCGCAGTAGCCTAGTGGTATAAGCGTCTGACAGTTGATTGGATATCCGTTCGATCGCAAGTTCGAGTCCGACTCCCGACTATATCTTTTTTTTATTTCTAACCGAATAGTGTCGGTAGATAGTCGGGCGGCCTACTAGCGGCCGGTGCGACACGGGCTAGCCGGGCCGACGATGTATCATGATTGTGGCCCGCTGATGTTGACTGTCGGCAGTTTTTGGAGGGCGTCTAAAGGCCCGCGCGATACATGTTTGCTGGGATGATGATGGCTGATCGTCTGATTTATAGGAGTAATCAAACACTAGTACCATCTTGCGAGTTTTTTCAACTCCAATCTTATAATGATTTCTTCACCTCTGAAATTCACCTCTCTGAAATCTTGGTCGAGAATCTGGAGTGTAATGTTGGGCAATTCCCGCCTACTGACTATAGGTAGGTAGATTAGATTTTTGGGAGTCTCGTCTATGGCGTAACCAGAATCGACTGCAACTGCAAACTCGTAGATCGTATGTGATGGTCTGTCGTTATAGAGAGCTCCAGCAGTAACGTTGCTATCAATATGAATGGTTCTCACTTTGGTTATGCTGACCGGCAAATCAGAAGTGTGGACTTGTTGTGCGTTCAACAATCTATTTGAAAATCCCAAGACTTGAGCTATGCTATCCTTCGGGCGAAAATCGATGGCAAACCGTCGCTGGCGCGCGCTCATCTTTGCAACGGATCTGTAGAGGTAGAGCAAAGCGAGAGATGCGTTCCAGAGATAAGAAACTTCGAGTCGAATCAAAGAGATAGGCTCCAGCATTGTGGGTTAATGTACCAATACCACCTCCGGCCACAACCAATTTACCCTTGATGGTGATGATACCTTCAAACATGGCCAACCACGAATCTGCTTGATTGACTGTAATATCGATGACATCATTGTTTTCGAATGATTTCACATATGGGTAATAGGTGCGCCACTCCACTTTAGTGATGCTTTCGTCGAATCTGGGTTTGCGGAAAACGTCGAAAACGGGGGCTGACAACATTGTAGCCTTCGAGTGATTTGAGAAACAGGATATTGGATAATGTCAATGATTTTCTGCTCCTGCTCTTCGAAGACACGACTGCTTTGGTGTATGGTGTCGAGGGAACTGATGCTGATGATGGTGATGATGATGGCTGATCGTCTGATTTATAGGAGTAATCAAACACTAGTACCATCTTGCGAGTTTTTTCAACTCCAATCTTATAATGATTTCTTCACCTCTGAAATTCACCTCTCTGAAATCTTGGTCGAGAATCTGGAGTGTAATGTTGGGCAATTCCCGCCTACTGACTATAGGTAGGTAGATTAGATTTTTGGGAGTCTCGTCTATGGCGTAACCAGAATCGACTGCAACTGCAAACTCGTAGATCGTATGTGATGGTCTGTCGTTATAGAGAGCTCCAGCAGTAACGTTGCTATCAATATGAATGGTTCTCACTTTGGTTATGCTGACCGGCAAATCAGAAGTGTGGACTTGTTGTGCGTTCAACAATCTATTTGAAAATCCCAAGACTTGAGCTATGCTATCCTTCGGGCGAAAATCGATGGCAAACCTTTGGCTCGAGATCTCACACTTTAGTGTATTATTGTTGGGCTTCAACGAGAATATATCATCAACGTCCTTTGCACTTGAGATGCCCAATTCTTTGCGTATGAATGTCTCAATGTCCACAATGTCGTATGAACCTTCGGGAATATCGATGATCTTTCTTGCCTTGGTCTTATCTTGCAGATAAAACTTTGATCCTTTGTCGATATTTGGTATACTGTTGTATGAATGAAATCCCAACAATGCTAGTCCGTAATCAGAGTCTGGATCGAGTTGAAGTGGTGTCAAAAAGTCTATGGAGAGCGTAGATGTACGACCTTTCAACGTCACAATCAGAGACATGACTGATGCACAATGACTGTGTTACTTGGTCTCATTAAAAAGGAATTCTAGACATAGACGTCCACAATTACTTTGATTGAAATTTTGGTATTGATTGTTATTGTACATGATTTTCGTGCTGGCACCCAAATATTGCGCCAATTCTCTGGGCGGTTTCAGATTGCCATAACTATCGAAATATAAGACTTTTTTATCATTTTTTATGTAAGCCACCCAATGAGTGCCCGCATGATTGGAGGTATCCAAATTCAATACAGCACACTCGCGATGCCATGGACCGGTGGAAGGTAGAGTGTCCCGCATAAAAACACCTCGAAAATACGGTATTTTCAGCTGTTTGGCATACTTTATCACATCTTTATCGTACATTGATTTATTGGGTAGCTTGTCTAGAAGTTTTTTGATTGTTTCTTCAAGTACAGTCCGAATCCTCTTGATGTTTTGCGTAAAAATAGGCCGGAACCCTGCTTGCCGATAGCCTCCATTGCTTTATTATGTCTTTGATCTTCTTCGAGCTTTTTCTTTGCATTTTTCGCATCAATGACTGTCTTTGTGACTGCTCCGGCTCCTTCAGCTAGAGATCCTAGGGCTCCCAAGGCAGCAAAGATTGGTATCAATGGTAGTATACCGCCACTGTGTGGAAGAGGTATGATTCTTGGTACTCTGATTCTTTTTTTACCGCCAGCCCTCTTGACTGCCATTCTGGCTGCATGGAGTGCTTTCAATGCAGATTTATTCAGACCACTTCCTGATGTTGTATTACCACCACCACCATCTGACTTTGCGGACTTTGATAGTACATTTTTTATGAATTTGATAATGTTGGATAGGGATTGCTGTGATACAAGGCCCATGCCAAGTTTTCGTTTGACCTTCATTCCGGTGGTGACAAGCCAAGCAGCAGCCTTCTCTTCGAATTTAGCGTTCTTCGACTTGACTCTCTCCCACGCTCGATTTTCCAATATCCAATCAGCTTTGTGTCTGTCTTCTATTGAGGAATTTTGTGAATAGGCGATATCGTGTTCTCGACACGCGTCGTCCAACGGATTGAGGCCGGTGTCTCCTCTAGCAAGTCTCTTATCGAGTTTGGTGCCTGGACCACAAAATCTGTAGCCTGGAATGTGTAATTCGATAGGAAGTTTATCGATCAAAGAATTAAGCACACCCTCTCCGTGGTAGAGCAACATGAAGACTGACGTGTAGACAGCTCGACTACTACTGTCATCAGATGATGGAGATCGTTCAACAAGAACGGACGTTGCCCATCGAGAATTTGGATGAAATTTTGTCAACCAAACCACCAGTAAATAGTAAACATGGGAAACTGCTTCCCCATTCGTTCAGAGCAATCTTCTGCGGACCAAGCGGGTGTGGAAAGACCAATGCGATGCTTTCCCTGCTGTTCAATCCAAATGGCGCGAAATTCAAGAACGTTTACGTGTATTCAAAGTCGTTGTACCAACCGAAATATCAATTGCTGCAACAAGTGTTGGATTCAGTGAAAGGTGTTGGTTATTTCCCCTTCAAAGAGAATGACGAGGTCATTAGTCCATCAGAAGCGAAAAATCACTCGATATTCATTTTCGATGATGTATCATGTGACAAGCAGCAGAAA